AAACCAGCCAGGTAAAGGGCAGAGGTGACTTTCTAATGCCACAGGTCACCGTTAACTTATCTGACAGTTTCTCATGAATCGTAGGATGACATGAAAAGGAATGGGAAACATTAAGTGCAAGTGTGAAGTGCACTGCTAGGACAGTTCATATCAGGCTCCTAGAAGCAGGACTGAAGTCCCATAATGTAAGGAAGAAGTCCTTCAATAATGAGAAACCTATATATATATAATTTTGTGTATATATATAAAAAAAAAAAATCACAAACGCACACCCATAAATTGAGAAATGAGTGAAACAAAAAATTGTGATGTGGTCCTTTAATCTTTTCCAGAGCTGTATATCACAAGAACCCACATATCCATTTTATGATTAAATTTCACAGCACCAAAATAACTCATGTGTATTATTATTAAAAATATATGTTTTCCAGTCACAGCGTTGTTTAACCTTTCTAAGCATATCATACATTTTCTTTTTATTGCATTACTTCACACTTTTAGCATTCAAAGTCCTAAAATGGAAAAACCTTTTGTTTAAAAATATGATTGAGGTTTTAGGCTACTCTGGAAAGTGTAAACTCCCGAACTGCCCCCTTTGGCTGAGTAGAGCATGTGAGACACTGGGCTGGCTGTACCTGCAGCAGAGGGGGATGTGGCGGTGCTGGTTGTGGATGCAGGTGGGGACTTCTCCCCCACGGAGAAGAAGCAGGCCCTGTCCCTGGTCGCCTCGTCCTTAACCACAAGCTCAGTGCCGGACAGATGAATCGGACTGCAAATGCCCATCTCCTCCTCCTGCGCCTGCTGCCTTCGGAGAGCCACCTGGAGTCAGTAAGTAATGAGAACACAAATGATCCTGTGTCATGTGCTCAATTCATATCATTTCTGGGTAACTTGAATTTCAAGCTAAGGACCAACAAATGAGGAGCCTATGCTTTAAAGAACAGGGCAGGCACAGGGCAGAGGTATACCCTTCACAGGATGCCAGTCCATCACAGGGCACAGGGCAGAGGGCAACTGTATACCAACGAATGTATACTAAAATGCTGGATGACTTTTCTAAATATAATAAATTAAATGTGAAATTACAAACTTAGTCTTTGAAAATTTCAGTATATATAGACCAGCTACCTTGTATGTATGTGTGATTGGCAAAAGGGTGCAAAGGAAGCATGCAACAAAATAAAGCATAATATGTACTGGTAACAAAAATTACTTCCATGTAAGAAAAACGTGTCAGTTTAATACATAGTATCCAACACCAGTCTTGAAAAGTAAACAAATATAACTAGGTCTGCTGTTAGGGTAAACATATTTAAAACTATTAATTAAGAGTAAAGGAATCTGTACTTCGCTGGCAGCAGACGATACAGGAGACTCCAAAGCAATTATGTACCTGTTTCATATGCATCTAGCTAATGGCCTATAGGCGACAAAGGAAAACCATAAAAACCTACCTTAATCATGCTATTTATTGCAAAGTAAAGTCCCGGTACGCGCCTTTTGTAAAAGGCGATCACATACTGTACCTGGGCCGCCATGACCCGTTGGCGTTCCGAGATCAGTTTGCACTTCTGACACTGGCAGTCTTTCCAGTTGCAAAAACGCTTGTGCCCCTTCAAAGGCGACACGAAGCCGTGGTTCCGGCATCTGGAGCACTTAGGCATTCGCGGCAGCTTCTTGCCAGTCGATGGCGACAGGGACCTGGCACATTCCATGTGATGTTTCGTCTGGTCGTCGTCGCTCATCTGAGAGTAAGGGGGACAAAAATTTGATTTTGAGGGGTTTCGACACTAAAATCTCCTAAACACCAAATAATCAAGCAGTTATGCAAGTGTACGTCTGAGAAGTCTACGGTCCCCACAGCCTTGTCCGGGAGGTCAAGTGACGGGCTGAGACTTTATACGCAAGCAACGTGGTGTCCTTTGCAATGCAACAAGCTTGCATTCTGCCGCGCGAGTTCCAGCCCAGTAAGCGCGCGCTTTGGCGCGTTCCGGGGGCACGCGACGGTCCGGCGGGGGAGCCGCCCCGGCACTGCCTCCCTACCGGGGCCGCTCGGCGTGTCTGTGTGTATCCCGCGCCGCGGCCATGGCGTTTGCCAGTTTATCGTCACCAAACCCATCACTCAGGATAACCAAAAACACACAGAGCGGCCAGGCTTGTGTAGGCCCTCGCCGTATGTACCCATGCAAGCCAGCATCAGCCCAAACCAGACATTTTACATGTAGCCTGTAGGACCGCTAACCTGGGGGCGGCAAGTCAAGTGTGAAACGATAAATGAGATTAAAACAGGGCAGTTGACGGTAAAATGACAATAAAAAATATTATGTCTGATTAATATTTTGTTGACGCCGTGGTTTTATTGGCTTTGGTAGGCTAATGGCATTTGATAAGGTCGGCTACAAATTTACATTGTAAATGCAAAACATCATGCAAGCACAGATTTGGATTTAATTCTTCTCAATGTTTGTCATTATATAAAGACAATATGGAGACTTCGTTTAATTTCAAGTACGCTTTACCTGCGAGTTTCATCGGGAAACGCGGTCGAAAGATGAGATAAGATCACACAGGTAGCCTACGTTTAAGTAATTATGTATGGTTTTTGCAACGAAATATGCAGATAACATTTATAAATATAATACGATATAGCAAGAACGATAATCAAAATTCAGATGCATGCATAGCTATAATTTCATATTATAAATATGCTTACCTTTTTGGCTAAGTTGCAATTTTTGCAAGGGTACACCAATGGCCGTGGTGCAATAAATTTATTTTCTCAAACGGCTGAAGATTCTCACTGTTATAAACAAGCAATCCTCCTTTAGATAATTATCGGTCTATTCACTGAAATTAAGTGCTAAAAGTTATTTTTGCAAGGTAATGTGCTTACTTTAAGGAAAAACACGAGCAATACTGTATGCGATACAGCCGTTTTTCCGTTAGCATACAATTATTTTTAAAAATAGGCCTATATTGGTCAATATTACCGAAGCATCATGAACGATACTAAAATACCGAGGGATACAAAAATATAGTAATTTCAGATTTTACAGTTAGGTTTTTGCATTTTGAAGAAGGAAGAAAATATGTAATCTCAAGGCATCTCAGAGAGAAGACCAAGTATCAAGTTTATGAAATGTATGCTCAAACAAAATAAATGAGAAACACACCCAACGAAATCTAAAGTTAAGTAGGACAAATTACAGTTCACATCCTCTTGGTACATTATGTCATGGGGTTTCCGGAGAAGTGGCAATCTCATTTGTGTCATGAAGGAAGAATTGATTTATTTGTGACTGACCTTAAGGAATGTGACATTTTGTAAAAGGACATTCCTATTTTATCTATTTAAAAAAAAAAAAAAACATTCATCCACACTGCATAAAACTTCACTGTGGTTTTTACCAAAGGTAAACAGGAGGAAGAAAGACAGAAAAGAGAATTGTCATGCATTATATCAGGCTAATTTCCAGCTTTATTTGTCAATATTAGCACAATGGTATTACTGTTTAGGGTTGATGGTAGGGGATAGCAAGAATGATATTTAGATTTGTTTGTATGATACTGCATTTACTGTTAGGATGATTTATACCATCATTGTTTATTGCCATGTACTGTGGTAATACTGAGCTGCTAGTCTATTTGAATCAGTATTTCAGAGACATGATATGGTATTCATCATTGCAAGATATTTCCACATTTTCTGCACTAATTCTTGAAAAATCATTACCCGAAGAGCCCAAATGAATATCCTTCACACCTTAAAGTACATGTTTGTACTCCCATAGAATGTACAAATGCTAATTTTAAAATAGTTCATTGTTTACCAATTTCTTGCATTTTTTGTCAAAATGAAAATGCCCCCTTCCTTTCACTCAACACCCCCAATTTAATACCTCTGAGTAAGAATTGAAAAGGATCTTGTAAATGGTTTAGTCCTGCTTCAAGCCCATGCTGGGAGCTTCAGTTATGTTGCCCCCTTATCAGCATTGCTTCACCAAGGGTGGGTGGGAAAGTAGGCTGAGGTGGTTCTTGTCCTGCTATAGCACATGGATTAAAGTCCATCAGGCACCTGTGAGTTCCTGGTTGCCAGGCGTGAGGGACATGCTACTGGTCTTATCTGCAAATTTCCCACTTTTGTGGAGCTTGTTAATTTTGAATGTGAAAAGATGGCAGAGTGGGTTGGTACACACAAGCAAATGAGAGGCCATTCTGTACAGACGAGAACAGACACCAAACCGAACGTGTCAGCATTAAATAACAGTATGCTGGGTTTCTGGGTATCCACTTTGTAGTAAAGTAGCCACAACATAATACTAACATTTCACAAATGGCAATAATATGTCTTACTTACCTTGTGCACCAATTTTTTTTTTTAACTGCTAATGTGTGAGCAGCTCTTCCAGAGTCACAGTAACACACACTCCATGAGAATCAGCATCAGTCATATGAAGTGCAGAGTCACAGTAACACACGCTCCATGAGAATCAGCATCAGTCATATGAAGTGCAGAGTCAC